TTTTTGCGAAAATTTTCTTTCGTTCATGTTGAAGTTTGGTAATATTATTAACATTTCAATATGAGCTTTTGTTGCTAAAATATTTTTAAAACTGCAACACCAAGAAAAAATATGACCATGTCAGGAATTGTACCGGGTGATTTCCACAGCAATAAAAGTATTTTCCATTTGGTGTTACAATTAGAGTTATGGCTGATATAATGAATTTTGTACTCTAAATGAAGATATTTTTATTGATACAGTTTACCTAACATAAAAACATTTCAGACACTTGTTTTGATCATAAATAGTAGTAAAAACATCAGTTTTCTTATTCGCATGTGTTTCCATAACAAAAGTCTAGTCGGTAAATAAGTTTCAAAATATTCTCTAGAATTTAGCATTAATTTCCAGATTTAGATCGAAAAAAAAATACCTTTGTTGTCAAAAGATCTGGAGGCATGCCCCTTTTAGTCATAAAATGTGTAGGAAATTATCATGTACATGATATTGTAGTGAACTTGCAAGATACAATTAGAAATATAGCCATATATACAAAAAGAAGAAATTCAAAAGTCTTAATTTAACATGGTGCTCCCTTCTCTTTCTTCCTTTGTATACAGTAATAATTACTGTTCATATTCTGAAATTATAAGTACTAGATATAACATGAAAACATTTCATCACATAACACTTTCAGACCCACACTCTTCTTTAACAATGTTCAATATTTAAATGTAGCTCAGTATTATTTTTTTGAAAATGTTCTTAGAAATTCTGAACTGTAACTATTATCTTATATAATTATTATGCATTACTCCAAGATGTCAACAACAAAAAAACAATTAAATCATTACTGTAAATTTTCATTTGAAGTACAAAATATGAAAAATATAAAACTGGTTAATGACTGAAATGACTTTCTCTTAAAACTCTTAATCCCCTGCCCAACCCACTTGTTCATCCTGATTTACCTATAACATTTGTGTCTATTTACTATCTGATTCAGGGGTGTACCCAACACACAATTTATCCTAAAAGAATGCAAGCATCCATTTACTAAGCCTAAATATATTTTATAGGAAAGTTGGCAGTTACAAATCTTGTTCCGTTCCGTTCCGCTAAATATCATTATCCTAGGGGATATTTATACTTTGCGGAACGAAACGGAATCACAATTTATAGAGTTGAAGACAAGGATTGTACACAACGCTGATTGTAATAGTGATATTTCAGCTTTATTAGTGCATGTGATTTCAAATAATATATAGCAAACATGTTCTCAAATTTAATTTGTGTAAGATTAGATAGTTTCCCCATTTCTGTATTTGATTAATATGTTGTCATTTCTAAACACAAAGTGACGAGTCTTCATTAGCAGGATAGGTAGTCTGCTATTTAATTTATGCATCATAACTGATTATATAAGTGAAGTTTATACAAGCATTATAAAGGAGGAAATGAGTCATAAATAACAAATCTTGTTCCGTTCCGTTCCGCTAAATATCATTATCCTAGGGGATATTTATACTTTGCGGAACGAAACGGAATCACAATTTATAGAGTTGAAGACATGGTTTGTACACAATGCCGACTATAATAGTGATATTTCAACTTTTATTAGTGCATGCATATTCAAATATATTATTGCAAATATGTTTTCAAATTTAATTTGTTTACGATAATTATATAACTTTCCAACCCGCCCGCTTAGATCAGTAGGTATGAGCATCAGTGTCGCGAGTTCGATCCTTGGGTGGGCAATGTTCTCCATGAAGATGATAAGTCATTTAGTCTGACATCATTTGTACCCCACCTCTGATTCATGTGGGGAAGTTGGCAGTCACAAATCTTGTTCCGTAAGCTAAATATCATTATCCTAGGGGAAATCTTTTTCCGTTCCGTTCCGTTCCGCTAAATATCATTATCCTAGGGGATGTTTATACTTTGCGGAACGAAACGGAATCACAATTTATAGAGTTGAAGACAAGGATTGGACACAATGCTGACTGTTATAGTGATATTTCAGCTTTATTAGTGCATGCACATTCAAATTATATGGCAAACATGTTTTTAAATTTAATTTGTTTACGATAATAATATAGTTTCCAACACGCACACATAGGTCTGTAGGTAAGAGCGTCGGTCTTCGGATCGCAGAGTCGCAAGTTCGATCCGGGAAGTTGGCAGCTACTTGCGGAGAACAGGTAAGTACGGGTACAGATTTCCAGGAACACCGTTTAGGTTAACTGCCCATCGTTACATGACTGAAATACTGTTGAAAACGGTGTTAGACCCCAAACGAACAAAGATAGTTTCCACATTTCTGTATTTGATTTATATGTTATGACTTCTAAAAGTGCGAATTTGTTTATGCATCATGAATGATTATTTATATGTGAAGTTTATACAAGCATTATAAAGGAGGAAATTGGTATTGAATAACAAATCTCGTTCCGTTCCGTTATGCTAGGGGATATTTATACTTTGCGGAACTAAACAGAATTACAATAAATAGAGTTGAAGACATGGTTGATACACAATGCTGACTGTAATAGTGATATTTCAGCTTTATTAGTGCATGCACATTCAAATTATATGGCAAACATGTTTTTTAAATTGAATTTGTTTACGATATCTATATACGTTTCCAACCCGCCCGCTTAGATCAATAGGTATGAGCTTCGATCAGTGTCTAAGTTCGAACCTTGGGCGGGCAATGTTCTCCGTGCCGATTTGACATTTGGTCTGACATCATTTGTCCGCCACCTCTGATTCATGTAGGGAAGTTGGCAGCTACAAATCTTGTTTCGTTCCGTTCCGCTAAATATCATTATCTAAGGGGATATTTATACTTTGCGGAACGAAACGGAATCACAATTTATAGAGTTGAAGACGAGGTTTGTATACACAACGCTGACTGTGATAGTGATATTTCAACTTTATTAGTGCATTTAAATTCAAATCATATATGGCAAAATGTTTTCAAATTTAATTTGTTTACGATGATTATTAATATTTTTTAGAATTTTATATAATACAAAATGAGTGTACGTGATATGGCGGCCATTCGATACATATTAAAGAGGTCCTGATATCGCCAAAAAATATTTAGATTGTCCACTCATTTTTTTTCATTCGTCAGTTTATATGAATAATAAATATTAAATTACTGCAACAAGTGCAAAACATTTAAATATATAAATTTTATGGCGATAGGATTTCCTATATTGACTAAGTCAAGAACATAGTTTTTTAAAACAGGTTGCATGTAATAAATTCATGTACCTGCAATATACCAGGATGAAAAATTCCATTGAAAAGAAAAAATAAATCTTGTTCCGTTCCGTTCCGTAGAATATAATTATTCTATGGGATATTTATACTTTACGGAACGAAACGGAACAACTGTTTGCAGTCCCGAAGATTTTATATAAATAATGTACATTTATAAGTGGGTATTCAGATGGTTCAGTTCGAAAAAGCCCTAGATCGACTGTTCGCTAGGCATTTTCAATACTTCATTATTTTTATTTAATATATTTACATATTAATAAAAATGTTGTGCCCCGTGTGGTGCCTCAATGTTTGTTCCGTTCTGTTTCGTTCCGTTCCGCAAAGTATAAATAGCCACAATAATTCTATCACTCCACGTGATTTTGTCACTATAGACAAAGAAGGGGAAAAACGGTGTTAAACTACCAATAAACACTGGTTAGGGACTACTTGTATATGCGGCTGTTATGTTTTTACCCTCGATTATATAGCAAAGCCTTTTAAAGCAACAATAAAAGGCATTTTTATTTAAGAAATAACATTGGCCTGAGAGGTGTATATCGGCTATTTAACACCGGTTTGGCGTTTTGATGCGTAGGAATTGACCACGAAGGCCGTAGGCCTGAGTGGTTAATTTTTTCGCATCAAAACGACAAAACTGGTGTTAAATAGCCGATATACACCTCTCAGGCCGATGTTATTTCGATTCTAACACGATAAAACAATTAAGGAAGATAACTAATGTTATTTTTTCAAGCGGATTCTGACGGAGTTCTTTCAGGTTCCGACGGAATATAATAAAATAATAAAAAAAAAACCCGCTTAATCTCACTTAACGTACGATTTATATGTAATATAAATCCGTGGTAGCAATCACACTTTTGGGTCACCAGACAGGTGTCTCTAATATTATAAAAGGGCACGTGTCGATTGTGTCAATATCTCGAAACCAATATACAACGACTTCCACTGCCAGTCGGCCTACATGTACTTACAATATTAAATATGATCATGGGTGTGTGACATTCTGAGGTCAATTAACGTTCTCATCTGTGAAAAAAATTGTTAAAAGATTTTTTCATAACTACTACAAATCAAACTTATTCAAAAAGCTCTACAAAAACATTCAAATAATAATAATAATAATAATAATAATAATAATAACAACCTCAACAACAACAATTATAATTATAATAATAATCTAAACTTTATTTTCGTACAAATTGTAGTATTTCTAGTACGGCTGTTATTAATTAAAAGTTTTCTTTATCAAACATATATGATCGAAATAACCAACCAAGAAACATTTATACAGTAGGCCTACATGCGAGTCTCAACGAAAATCATTCAAATACAAAAATATATCATAGCCATCAACAACAAAAAACATCATTAAAATTATAAACAAGCATATCACAAGCATATCTTTCACAAAAGGCATGCAATAATCAACAATTTATCGATGACACCGAGAACAGAATGATGGTCAATATGTTGAATACGATCCCAGATCCCGGCTTTTCTATAGGCGATCCCTCCCCACCGCCGATTTTATATTTGTCGAATGTCATGAAATTACAACACTCAAAGAATACATGAAATCGCACTTTTTACTATAAAATTGAGTTAATTGACAAATACGTAAGTTGAAGGGACATTAATGATTAATGCGTGTTTTATGCACGAAACATTCGAGAATATTCTAGAGTTGCCTCCCTTTAAGACGCGGAAATCGTTTGCCATGTGTAGACTGGTCCATTGATGAGATATTAGATTTGAACGTTTATATTTTACGTCTCCACTTTTGATTTGTTAACACAGTCTGGAATTAAACAAAGATGGCAGTGGTAAAAAAATATTGTTAAAATTTTTCAAATTAATAAGACATTGATGTCATTTGAATTGATATTTTTTATTTTTACTGCATTTTCTTAATATAAGTGCATTTTTTGCACTTTAAGAGCAGATGAGTTATTGTTGTTCTGCACTCTTGTTTATACTTGTCTTCTGTTTGAATAACATGTGCTGTTCCCCACCCGCTTTTATAAAGTTTATCAGTTTATATCACTCTATCAGACTATGTGGTGACACGGGCCATTTTGGCATTGGAATATATATATAAATTAGCTTTGGTTTCATTTAATATCTTTAGTTACGTAATTTAAGGAAATTATTCTATAAGTATGATTAAAGGAACTCAACTGAGGTTTATATACTGTGCTCCTCTTAGTTCACGGTACTTAACACTTTAAAACAGTAAAGAACACAAACAATAAACTTACACTACAAAAACTGTCATAAACTGTATCATTTAGTCATTTTTCTGCTATATGACACAAGGAAACAACAATATATTCAATCAAAATTAGTTTTAATTTGTCAGATGTAAACAGTGTGTCGGCCATTTTGAAAACATTACGTCATCATTTACCTCGCGGTAATGGTGTTTTATTTCAGTTTTTTCATGTTTCAGTTAAAATTTCTTTAAGTTATTTTGCATAATTTTAAATATTAAACGTATTTTTACATTGTAACTCAAAATTTATTTTTTCAACAAACAAGAACATTTAGAAAATGATGATTGTTCAGACGTATGCACAATTTAAATGGACTATTGTTGTTTTTTGCAGAAGTTTGTAAAATGTTGTTCAGTTTTACGTAAAATTCTATAGATTTAAATTATTTTGCACAAAACCTTTGTTGTTAAGGTGTTTGAATAAAATATGTCAATTCTGACCAATTACAACACTGGTCACATGAAAATATGCCATTACCGTGAGATAAATGATGACGCGGAATTAGTGATGTTGAGTATAAGCCTAAAAACATAAAAAAAATAATTTTTCATATAGGAGCACTTACAGGGCTCGAGCTAGTGGGCGATTCGGGCGAAATAGTCGCCGAATTCCGTCTGACTTCGCCGACATCCTACATGAAAGCTAAGATGAAGTCGCCCGATTTTATTGATCCATTATTGAAAATTACCAACAATAACAAAAACTGTGAATAACATGTTGTGTGTGTTTGCTTTGTTTACCCTCGCTGCCGGAAAAAGGGACTGTCGTGCATCTCAATCAACGCGAAATGTCATTAATCCGTTTGTTTACCAACATGTCATAAAAGTCTAATTAACAGACACTCGAGGAACAATTAGACTCCGCCCACGGCGAGATTACCGATACGTGCGAGAAACCAATCGTAATTCACGTTTTAATCGAGGCGACATTATTAAACCAATCATTAAATCGCTAACATACAACTACCCATAACAATTATTTATGATCAAACGTCAATTAAATTTTCACTATCGAATGATTGTCAGAATTAAGAGGACCGCTCGACATATAACTGTAACTGTAATTTTAAATGAAAGTTATGATAACCTTTTTTGTCGACGAGTTAAATTTGATAAAATTGACGGCGTATTACACTGTATTTATTACAAATGAAGTTAAATTAAAGATCGTTTCTTTCGTTATCTACTTTCATTTTCTTTACAACATAAGTGAATATGAATATAATGTCCGGCGCAAGCTTTTTAATAGTAAATCAGAAGGGAATAACTGTTTATCCGCCCATGATATGATCCATGATACTAGGAATCAACTATGGCTTTTTTATCTTCATTTAATGCAATGGTTGCATTACATGATACTCATTCTTATTACTTTTAAATTAAAATTGAATATTCTGTTGTAACACAAATCCAATTCATTTAATAAGATATGTACAGTGAGTCAACATAATTGCGATAACATACAACAAACATCAATAAATGAATCTCCTCACTTCTCCCTAAAGTCTCCCCACTTCTCCCTAAAGCAGCTGGAGGTAGAAGTGACTTCTCCCTAAATTTTGAACCTAGCTTGAGCCCTGACTTAAAGCAGCACGCCTCCAGATTCATGCTAATTTTCATGAAAATTTTGAAAATAATTTTAAAGTATTATTTAGTGAAATTATCAAAAGGAAGCAATTTAAACATTATAAAGAGGACAAAATATGCAAAAGTAGCCCTTAGTGCGTTAGTAACGGAGTAGTAATATAGTTATAAATACTGAAAAATCAGTCATTAATTGCATATAACATGTGAATAATTACTTGAATATTTTTAATTTTCCTAAAAACTTAGTACATTTTTCTCAAGTTTGATTTTATTGAAATATTTTCGTTCATCTGGAGGCGTGCAGCTTTAAAACAGAAATATAAATAAAATATAACCAAGAAATATACAAGAAATACATTGAAAATCATTTATTTGTGCTATTCTCAATCCGATTTGAGCTTTTCAGCTTTTGGTCATTTTTCACTATTATAATAATTATTCTGGAAAAAAGGAGCGAGCTAATGATCTGAAATTTACACATAAGTTATTAGTTTAGATCTAAATCAAATGGAGTAAAAATCCAGTGTTTAATCTAGAAATTCCTTACAATGCGTCGGATGACGCACATTTTTGAAAACAATGAGTCCTTTAGCAAAATCAATGAGTCATGTAGCAAAATAAATGCGTCTTAGCAGAATTTTTTTTTTTAATAGCAGATCCTTGACATGATTTGCATGTTTTTATAACAAGCGATTAAGTAATTAAAGTGTATAAAAAAGTTTTTTTTTTTGGTACTAATATTAATTGCAGGCAAAACAATTTTTATTGGCTGCTCAAAAATCTTATTTGCATAATTTATATTTTCTTACTACTTATGTCTAATACTGTGCATTATCCATTTTAATTGTTCGTAATTTGCACAAAATGTCCCTATCACACTGTATACATACTGACGACTTTTATTGCTCCTTGTATGCCTCTGTGTAGAAAGCATACACAGACAAACCTTTTGATCATGAAAAAAAGTCATGCACAATGTTTCCTTGATTGGTTAATCACCCTGTCAAATATTCTGATGACGTAATAGACATCTTTTTTTTTACACTCCGCGTGGACTTGAGTGACCTTAGGGGAATTCAATTTACACACCTGTCAGATTATACTGTAACTTACAGCATTTCTTAAAATAGCAACACTTTTTTTTCAGTTACCGATATTTATTTAAAATATTAAGTAGATTAATGATTTTTTGTTTGCTTTATTGGATTAAATTTACGGTAGTAGAAATGCTTATCTGTGTGGAAAAAGGATAAGGTAAGTAGATAACTCGGAAAAATGCTATAATAGGGAAATGGATAAACTCAATGATATGCGTAATTACAGGGGAATGGGTAACCTGTTGCTGTTGGTACCAGTTTTGTCTGGATGACTAAATAACATACAATATAAGTCTGGCACAGATTTTAGATGCAACCTTGGCCCTTTGCTGACAATTTTCCTGTGCCATTCTCATTTTCTAGCGCCAATGGCGCAGGCAGATCTCTGCATATTTCACCATTGTAGGCGATTAGCTCTCATGCAAAATGGACGCTCTGATTGGCTAATGCCGATAATGGGCAGTTACCGATCACAGGGATTTAATGTTTCAAGCAAATGGGGGATTAGTCTTGCACAAGTAATCATCGGAAATTAAATTATTCAACTAAAGAAATTGAAAAATTATTCAACTGATGAAATTAAAGTAATCAAACAGTACATAGAAATCACTAATCGTGATATTTTGGATTATAATCCACCTGATTTGCATGCGTTAAATTGAACGCACATATTTTGAAACTGTGCGTCTTTTCTATTTTTATGCGTATTTTACGCAAGACGCACATCTAGATTAATCACTGATAATCTAAAAAATTATTTCCAGTCCCATCATGTCAAAAAACCTCAGTGGAGTCCCTTTAAGAAAATATGTATTGTTTTTGTTTGTTTTTTAATATTTTACCTATTTTCCCCTTTGCAGCTCAATTTTCCCCTCTGTGGGCCCTACCACCACAGTGTTGCATCTAGAATTTCAAAATTATTGGGGATTGTCCCCCACTCAACTGAAAAATGTGGGGGATTTGAAAAAAAATGTGGGGGACATACATTTACCTTACATTATGACATACAGAAAAGAATTCATTTATTTTACGTTCAGGCATTTTTGACATCTATCGTCAGCTCCAAAACGGAAGAAGAAAAAATAAAGTATTGACGAATACTACAAAACACAAACGTGAAATGACCCAGTCAGCTGCTACACGCGATTTAGTACGTATTTTAGTCATAACCACGAGTGAAAACAAACATGGCTGAAGCGTTCAAGATACAATGTAGATAAACTGAATTAAGTTGAAAAGATCATCAGATGCGCGACTTGGCGCGCATTGACTTCATTAAAATGCACGATCAGCATAAAAAAGGACAAATCGCGCAGCCTAGATGCAACACTGCCACCATCCTCCTAAATGTGAAAAAATGTAAAAAGCACTGTAAATGATAGGGGCCGGCAAAATCTGATTTTGACTAACTTGTCCATTTTTATTTGAAGCATTTTTTAACTTGTCCGTATGATATTTACATAGTTTATTCTTGAAATTTTTCACTTGTCCGTACAGGCTGTGGGACAATTTTTCACTTGTCCGTACAGGCTGTGGGACAACCTGGGCAATATGGACAATTGATTTTGCCGCCCCTGAGGGCCTGAATGATAAAACTGTTAAATAATTCCATTGATTACGTAAAACAATTATGGCTCAATATTTTTATTTTCTATTTGTAGCCTACAGCTGACAAGGTACAGGAAATCAGAGAGGTCACTAGGATCGAGCGAATTGGTAAATTACTGTATATACTTTTCTCGTGTTTGGCTTCATTTCAAAAATAACAATTTACTTGTTAGTTTTTGCGGCAAATATTATGGACAGGATTGAAATACCTATTTGCCTAATTTTCTTCATTACTTAATAATGAAGTGAAATATATATGGTGTACATGTCTACTCATATGATGTTTTACATTTGGTTTTGAGCAAACAAATCTGTTTTGTAATGTAACTTGGGTCTTTTTTTAATAGCATTTATATTCACTGATGTTAAAGGTCAATTTTAGGTTAATGAAGGAGTAATTTAACCACTGCGGTATACCGTACCCCGGATATTGCTCGATATTATGAGGACTTTCATCCCATTTCGCGACTTTGAACGAGGAAAGAAGGTATGTTTAGTGACGATATTTAGTCATTTTGAATTGGTTTGATATAAATTTTGTAGAAACACAAATACTACGATAATTTCTCTAGTTACTGAAACCCCAAAAATGTTGAGAAATAGCTTTGAAATATAATTAGGAGGTAAAATTCGTCTCTTTGCTCACGTGATAAATGAGCTCGGATCAGTCAAATTTGATGTTTTTGTGCATATACTTCTTTAAAAGAAAAACTTGAATCGAGTGAAATGTGATAATGGTGATAATGTTTATGTTGTAAATGTTCAATCAACAATAGAACCTCAGATGACAGTGCATTTTGAGAATAAATACACATGTCAGTGTACCGAGTATTGCGTTGGAGTTGCCCGCCGGTGTCACGAGTATTGCTTTTAGTATAACGAGTATTGGTTATCAATGAAGAGTAAATGCAAGTAGTAAACACAAAGTATTTACCACATTTGATTTTACATATTTCTTACTGTGTATACTTATTTACACTATATGTGCAGAATATGCAGAATTCGGAGGTACTTTACTGGAAACATCTGCGAATAATCCAGATTTACATTCCTGCTCGTGAAAAATCTCAGCCGAACGAACTCAGCAATTTTCTGTGTTTAAAATGTTCTCGTTGCTATCTTAAGATTCAAAGATTCAAATAACTTTATTTGTGTTCAAAGGCCTCAGGCCCAAAATACATAGCATACATACAACAATATAGTAATATGGTTGCGTCACCTTAACAATGTTTATTAATGCGAAAAAAGACTAGTTGTTTATGTTATCCATTAAAACATATACATAAAACATAAGCTTCCTTAAAGTGATTTTATCACGTGTACCTATTAATACATAAAAATATCGATTTAGGCCCCAAAAACGGTTTTTTCGTTTGAGAAATGTTGTTCAAAAGAGTGATCACTTTTTCGGCGCCACCCCAATTAAAAAGGTACATTAAGGGGGTTACGCAGGGGGGGGGGGGGGTGTGCCCCCTTCTGTTTGGGGGTTTGAAGTGGGGCAGTAGCCCCTCTAATCGCCGAGAAGACTTGGGACTTGTGGGGGGCCAAATGGCCTCAGGTCGATTTAAAGGTACCGTGTAATAAACGCCGAAAACCTAAGACTTTTGGTGCACCTTGAAATCAGTTTTGATGGGAAAAAACAACGCAAAATAGAGGTTTTTGGCAATTTTGAGACGCCCCCCCCCCCCCACCCCGTTGCCATGATAACTGGAAATTTAAAATTGAGCATGCTATTCCACAGGCTATGGTCCAGCTAACATTTGTGCCCCGTTTGATCAGTATTGAAGCATTTTTTATAGTTTCATAGCAGTTTGAACTTGTAACAAGAGGCTTAATTCTAATTCAATGAAAACGTCCATTTTTCGCATTATGCTCATGCAGTAAAAGGTTAAGACGATGCCGGCATGCTTGGACGGCATAAGCCCTCAGGCCAATATTTTATTAAGTGCGTCGATATGTTTCTTAAGGCAAAAACCTATTATCAATGTCATCTAAATAATTTTTTTTTTATTCTTGTCCATTTCAGAGATGGGTCTCCTTGATCAAAGTGTCTTGAGACATGTATTTAAAGTTTTTTATCGTCAATTTTGATGGTTCTACCCTGCTTCCGACCCTGCACACACTTAATTTCATCCATAGTGTGATTTTCAACCAAATTGGAAATTAAATCTCTGTATTTGCCCGTAGGAAAAGAACAGTAATAACACTGAAAATGCACTGTTGAATCTGAAATATTTGAATAAATATCATATAAACAGTACATTATCAGAAAAATGAAATTGAATCGATAAACAGACGTGAAAATTAGACAAAAATATCGAGTTTCCATACTAATGTGCTAATTCTGTTTTGCAATACTCTGTACACTAAAGTTGGGCTATTTTGCAATACTCTGTACACTTAAAATCAATACTCGGTACACTGTCTTGTATCTTTTTTAGCCTGTATCTTTTTGTACTTTCACACTTTTTGCCTGAAATTTGGACAAGGCATACTTGGATTGTGAATAAAAAAATTGCTCGATTCAATTTTTTTTATATTGGTAATATAATAATTTCTAACGATTCTACAGTATCGCGGTCAGTATTTGCTAGTGAGCAGCGGATCGTTTAGGGGTAGTTTAATAAATTTTACAAATACCTGTAATACTTTTACGTCTTTTAGAGCTACAAAAATACCTCTAGATATATATAACCCGTTTAGATAAATGAAATAGCCATTAGTTTGGAAAATATCGTCGCTGAACTTACCTTCGTTCCCCGTTCAAAGTCGCGAAATGGGATGAAAGTCCTCATAATATCGAGCAATATCCGGGGTACGGTATACCGCAGTGTTAACTAGAGCATGAAGAGAGTGCGGTCATATCATTGTATTAATTGTTGTTACTAAGTATTTGGTCAGTACATATTTTAATACAAGGACTTTCCCTAAAGATGGTCGAATGGTTTTGTTCAGTCTGAAAACAGACAAGACTATTTAAGATGTTAATTGAGGAAAAGGTAAACATGAAGATTTAGAGCATTAATGCACAGACATTTGATTTAAAGTCCAGTAAAGACTTTATAGAAAATGTGCAAAGAAAAGTGACAGATAAAACTTGCAACCATTATATTTGTCAGGCAGTTTTACCACTGAAAAAGGGGTAAATTTGATATAATTTTATGTTGACCATTGTTTCTTTTGTTGCACAGGTGCTCATTCTCATATCCGAGGTTTAGGTCTTGATGATGCTTTGGAAGCTCGCAATGTGTCACAGGGAATGGTGGGACAGATGGATGCTAGGCGAGCAGCTGGTGTCATCCTTGAAATGATTAAGGTGAAGAAATTTTTATGTGTAGTTTCTGTTTAAAAGCAGCACATCTTACAAGTGCACCATGCAGAGGTTTACACTATACAAATGTCACAGGGTGAGAAAAATGTGCAGCCTGACCGGGACTTGAACCCAGGACCCTCGGAATACCGTACCGTGGCTCAACCGACTGAGCTATCCGGCTGCTTACACATCTTCTCCCCTAAATAGTGAACTGTTCTGAACCGTGACACAAACATTCAAATTACCTGATGAATCTGCATAAATTATCTTTAATGTGTCAAAATACAGGGGTTTTTTTTGGCCGATTTTATAGCCGTTATTCGGTCATATTCCCAATTGAAAATAGTATGTTTTTTTCCCAATTTTGATACAAAAATTCCCAATCGAAAACTTAAAAAAAAAATTTTAAAAATCGATCTTTGGGGGAACGTAAAATTAAGCAAATAGCCGGCGTCTAAACAACCCATGTGTTAAGTAGACGCTTGATTTCTTAGTATAAGTTTATCGAGCGTCTTACGATACCGACGACCTTCGAAAGTGAAAGTAAATCAAAATGTTTCACACGTTAAAAAAGCACTGATAAAAACAAAAAAAAATGATTTAATGTTTACGCAAGCGACTCTCTTGGAAAAGAATTGTACTTCTGAAACGGTAACGGCGAATGAAACTGCAAGTGATGTTCCTACTCAGGGTTTTAAAAGTTCTAGCGACGAGTTTAAATCAGATACAGTTGTCCCTGTCAATGATCAAATGTTATTAAGTTCCAACAAATACGAGTTGAAGTATGCATTGTTGTGTTATAGTGGTGCAAAAGTTTGGTATTGTTGCAAATTGTGCGAGTTTTTTTCAGCTACAGATGACAGATAACTCATTATCATATAAATTTGCATGATAGACATTGAGAGAATATTTGTTTTTTGAAATTTATAATTAAGAAATTTTATTTAAAAATGACATTTTTGTTAAAATAAAATTTACCAAATATGTATCAATGTATGAAAAACAGATAAAAACAAAATGATAAGATTTACTAAATTTTATTCAGAGTCAATTACTATATCTACAATGTATGCACAATACAATAACATAACATTAAAATAAACACTGTTATTTTCATCATATAATTTCATTTCCTATTTTATAAAAACTAAAAAGAACTATTAGTTACACACTTCTAAAGGTGCTAATTTAGTAATTAATAAACCTGTGTTTATAATGCTTTATTCAAAATTGTTTCACACTTCTAATAATTTGTTCTTATCTGTTATATAAAAACATATTTTATTTAATCAATATTTTTATGGTATTTAATTTTTGGATAACAAAAAAAAAATGTAATAATATATACATGTAGACTTATAGCTGATAATTCTTTCAGAACTCATATTTATAATTATTTTCCCAGGGAAATTTCACTATATTTATGTCAAAAAAATCTTCTTCATGAATGTAATTGTTTGCAAGTATGTGTTATATTATATATAATATTAACCCATAATGGTATTTATTTCATATATTTATCAAATTTAAAAAGTGGTGATGAAAGCACCAGGGTTTTGAGTGTGAAACATCCAGGGGTGAAACATCCAGGAGGTGTAAAGTCAAAACACTATACAATAACACAGTTCAAAAATTTGAAAATCAGAGACCTACTTTTGTGAACTAAATCCTATAATATTAGAAAAGGAATATATTGCCTCAGGAAACTTGAAAATGTTGTGGTTTTTTTTTTCCCAATTTTGGGCAAAATGCCGCTAAAATTCCCAATCTCAAGGGTATGGGTCATGTTCCCAAAATACTGGAAAAAAACCCTGAAATATGCAGAAATAGGATTAGCCATTACTGAGTACTTTGTTCTGTTATACTGACAGCCTACAGATGTAATTTGCCAGCTTATACAGTGTCTATTCTAGGATTTGCTCTTTTTGCTAACATCGTGCGCATTTATGAGGCATGTTTGTGAAAATCCCACATCTTGATTTATAAACATTATCAAAAAGTTGGCATATTTGTTTACATGGACACCAGAAACTGAAGGAGGTAACTGTAACAAATAAAATCAATGTTTTCGTCGAAAAAGTTGAATGAGACAACTTTTGTAGCTGTAAATAGAATTATGTTTGTTCAAAGAATATCGGTTTTAACGTTTCTACGAAAAAAGTGCAGACAAATATGTCATAGAAAAAAATAATACACATATAATTACATTTCATTCGAAAACTGGTGTTATTAAGCATCTTTCTCAGGGGATGCATAGTTCAAAAGTTTTATAAGACTATGTAGAATAAGGTCGCTGAGATCCTTATAGCTATTTATCTTGTAAGTTTCTTGGAAAAAAGACCATCCAAACAACATTTTTGGCACTCTTATGTTTTTGGAAAATCACCCCTATTTTTTTAAGTCACTTTAAAAATACTAAGTGAGTGGCTCAGGGGAAATTCGTCCCTATTTTTGAATTACTAGAATAGACACTGCATACATATGTACATTGTATGCAATCTGACTGGACACATTATTGGAAATGAATTTGAATTGCTTTTATTCTTGAAGTCCTAGCAACTAACTTGTTAATAGTGTGGCTAGTCTATCAGTTGGAATAAAGTAAGACATTTTTTGTGGTGTACAGGCTTTTACATGTACTTACAGGTATAATTGGAGCATTGTAGCATGATTATTAGTCCCCTACCGGTTTACCAGAGGGGACTTTAGGTTTACCCTCCGTCCGTCTGTCAGTCCGAGCAGACGAGAGCTACATTATGAGGTTTAGGTTTATGTACAGGCACTCTGTATGGGGTTCATTCCGTAGAGACATGTATTATGTGGTTAAAAATGCTTTTATGGGGTTAAAAAAATTTGCTCTTGTGGGGTTAAGAGATCAAAGGAATAACCCCACAAACACGTCTGCTAAGTACGTCCGTCAGTCCGTCCGTCCGTCCACAAAACTGGATCCCGCGATTACTTGAAAAGTACTGAAAATATTTTTATGAAACTTGGTATATGGATAGATGGCAGTATGGAGATTATGCACGTCTTTTTCTTTTCTTCCTATGTTGAAAATTCTGGTTGCTATGGCAACAAATAGGCTGAAAATATGGCAAATTTTACACATAAACTGGATCCAGTGATAACGCAAAAAGTACTGGAAATATTTTTATGAAACTTGACATATGGGTAGATGGCAGTCTTGAGATAATGCACATCTTTTTTTTTTCTTCCTATGTTGAAAATTCTGGTTGCTATGGCAACAAATATGCTGAAAATATGGCAAATTTTACACATAAACTGGATCCAGTGATAACGCAAAAAGTACTGGAAATATTTTTATGAAACTTGACATATGGGTAGATGGCAGTCTTGAGATTATGCACGTTTTTTTCTTTTCTTCCTATGTTGAAAATTCTGGTTGCTATGGCAACACATAGACTGAAAATTTGGCTAATTTTACACATAAACTGAATCCAGTGATAACTCAAAAAGTACTGGAAATATTTTTATGAAACTTGACATATGGGTAGATAGCAGTCTTGAGATTATGCATGTCTTATCTGTTCTTCCTATTTTGATAAAATATCAGTTGCCTTGGCAACAAATAGGCTTAAAACATGGCAAATATAACAATATTTGTGATTAGTCAAAAAGAGCTGAATTTTTTTATTTAAGAATTTTGCTTTTAAAATGTTATATTTTGGAAACAGGGATGTTTCAAATATTAACTTTAGAGTGTCCTCAGTCCGTCTGTCTGTCTGTCTGTTCATAAAAAACTGTTTCCTGTGATCACTTTTAAAGAACTTTTCCAACAAATTTACTTAAAATAGAGAAAAATTGAAACATTAGTGAATGACCAATGGCCCTTCAGAATGTTGATGGGGTTCTAACTGGTAGGGGACTTATGGATTGCTTGCAATACTATGATAATTGCTTGTTTATTTGGTCTGTGATTGACTTTAGTAAAATAGGTTTGAAATGAAGATGTTGTTCTGGAGTATTTAATTTTGACTTGCTGCTGTGAATCTGATGGAAAACTAGAAACATCCACCCATGAAGGAATCTTCATGATTGTAATACTTATCTAATGATAGATGATTAACAAAAGTTTTCAATGGAATAAATCTCTGTTCTTTATTTCAGGAGGGAAAAATTGCTGGAAGAGCACTGTTAATAGCTGGACATCCTGGTACTGGGAAAACTGCCATAGCTATGGGTATGTGCATGATTGCTTGCCAGGGATTTTTTCCCCAGAATTTTGGGAAAAAATGACCCATACCCATGGAATTTGTTAAAAATTGGGAAAAAATGCATGACTGAAATTTTACAGTGATTAAATGGATACAAACAATTACTTCTATGATGGCATCTTCAAACATTTAAACACTATTACAGTGAAGAAGCAATTATTTGCAAAGATTTTAGAATTTTTATTTTGTAACTTTCAATTGGGAATTTTTTTTCCTGTGAATTGGGAAAATGATGTACTATTTTCAATTGGGAATATGACCCAATAAGGCCATAAAATAATTAAAAAATATCCCTGCTTGCTATAAATGTTTGTTTTAGATTTGATTTAAATTTTTACAGATCAGTCAGATTGTCTGATGCTCATTATTTTAAAACATCATAGCAATAGAAATGACAATTTAATCTTCATCACAATTAACTCAACTATAAAAACAACTCTTTTTTTTTCTATGATTTTTTTAGGGATATTCCTGTTAGTGTAATTTATTTCAAAATTAATGTAATCCTGACCTATAAGATATTTCAGAAACAGTAGAGGCCCTTATCATCTATAGATATAGCTTGATAACAGTTGAAAACATATGTTGTTAAGGAAATTGCCTCAAATCAGTTTTAGCAGCAATGTAGATTCAATTTCAAAATTTTATAAAATTGACTGTAAGTTGAGTAAACAATGACATTTTAATATGTAGGTATGCATCAAATAGACTTGGGGTTTAAGTATGACATTAAATATATTAAAGGTTTAAGAATTTTATTATATTTGTAGGTATGCATCAAATGGACTTAAAGTTACGTTTAATCATTTAATTATAAAATCATTGAACTTATAGGTATGCATAAAATTGATTTGAGGTTTAAGTGTAGGTATTCACAGGGCCGGCAAAATCAATTGTCCGTATTGCCCGGGTTGTCCCACAGCCTGTACAGACAGATGAAAATTTTCAAGAATAAACTATGTAAATATCATACAGACAAGTTAAAAAATACTTCACATAAAAACAGACAAGTAAGTCAAAATCAGATTTTGCAAGCCCTGATTCATAAAAAGGACATTGATGTAGGCTTAAGAAAATGGACTTGAGGTATGAGTACGACATTGACATTAAAAATGTAGGTATGTAAAAAATGGACTTAAGGTTTAAGCCTCATAGTATAATATAACATTAAACATCTAGGTATTTATAAATTGGACATGGTGGTTTAAGTATGAAATTAACCATGTAGGTATGCATCAAATGAACATGAAGTTAAAGTAAAGTATGAAATTAAATTTGCAGGTATGGCTCAAGCACTGGGTTCTGATACACCATTTACAAGTATAGCTGGCAGTGAAATATTCTCTCTTGAGATGGGGAAAACAGAGGCTCTTACCCAAGCATTCAGGAAATCCATCGGAGTTAGAATCAAGTAAGTTCAGCTTGAACAAGTATCAGATTAATTTCACCATGATCTGCAAGTTTTTCCCCTGTGTGACCTTAAGATTTGTTGACTAAATGGATCAAATTACTGGAGTCTATGCTTTTCTTGCCCCTGTTGGTGCTTTATGTTTGTAATACTAAGTGATATGTGGTTAGCCAAAATCATTTTTTCCTGTTTCAGCACCATATGACATAAATTGTGTTGGTTCCCCAGAAAGCAAACATAATAAACAAACAAAACAAAGCCATGATGTTAACTGCTAAGATTACTGACTTAACTTTTATTCACTTTTATACTAGAGTACAGTTTACATATATAAGTCAGCTTAATCTATCTTTATTTTGCTTGGAGTTCATGTGATTTAAAACAGGAATTCTTTAATGAAGCTAAGGTAGCTAACTTTATCCACTTTAAGATTAGATGCCAGGGCTTTTTTCCCTTCAATAGCAAGGGCAGGTATACTTGTATCTTCACTGTTGGTTAATACCTTGAAGTAATGTAGTATCTGCCACCGGGTAAACTTGAATTTGCCATAAACTTATATAATTTTACTTGTAGGGTAAGAGTGTTTCTTAAAATGAAAAACAATCATGAATTTGAAAATATCTAGTGTCATTCTACCCTATGGTATAAATTATGTTGCATAGAAATAATAGACAATGGTGTATAACAGGCTTCAGCAATATTGTAAATGTTTTAAATGGTTAACTATGTCTAAGATAAGGAGATTTACAGTGCTGACAGAACATTGTTATGATATTTACAGAGAAGAGACTGAGATTATAGAAGGTGAAGTTGTAGAGATACAGATAGACAGACCTGCTACAGGAACTGTAAGTATCTACATGCTGATAGTGTATTATACAGCAGTGAGTTTTTTTCTCCAATTTTCAATACAACCTGTGGCTTTCTAAGGGGAAAATATAGGGCATGAAATCAGAAAAGGGAAAAATGAAATTCAAAAACTGAGAATGAGATTTTATAAAATTTTCAATTTCAGTTCAATTTTACATGCATGCTTCATAGCAGAGGCTATCGATACTAGGGACAGATTTTTGTCTTCTAGCTGATACAAGTCAGCTGCTCTTGTGATGAATGTGTGCTGGGCATTTTAGGGGTAAATTTTAGGGGAAAATATACCTAAGGGAACAGCCTTTATTAGACAATAAATCACTGTACAGTATTGTCATTAAGAGGCAGCTTGAGTCCAAAATGAACTCGTCAAATGCATTATGGGCCGACTCGAAAGTAAGAAAACAATCTTCTTTGTATTTGTAAATAATGACCATTTGAATTAAAAAACTAATTGTCTTTCTTTTTGCTTTTTGATATTTAGTTAACAGTTTATGATCAGTAGTAAGTGAGGAAAGAAAAGGAAAAAAAAATTTGTGGAAAAAAACTTCTTTATTTTCAACTGGTAGCAGGCCATAGTATTTGATCTTTTACATGTATTTACTAATGTATTTAGGTAGAAAGTTAACATTAAGTATCTAACAATGATTTTGTTTTCATTAAACATTCAGATATCTTTCTATAACAGAATAATTGTTAAAAATTTGACGCAATGTCACGTGATGTCACTTTTCTGCAAAAACTTTGTTTATGTTATTAATGTAACTTCACTTTCTATGTATGTAAACATTCAGTGTTAATAAATAAAACAAACCAAACACAACGCCTAGTTTTCTCACAATCACATCCTCACAAATGCATTTGTAAACAATGCAAGAGATTTGTAGCCTGATGTAAATAAAGATGTCTCCCATACAAAACACAAAGAAATACTAAACATTTCCTCTTCTTTCCTACACTTTTAACCATTGATAATTTTGGTCTAGTTCTTGACCTTTTCTCATAATCATATGTAATCACTTTTGGTTCAAGCATAGTAAATATTTATATATTCTATTATTGAATGTTTGACAGGGTGCAAAAGTTGGCAAGTTGACACTAAAGACGACAGAGATGGAGACCATATACGATCTTGGGCAGAAAATGATAGAATCTCTTACTAAGGAAAAAGTACAGGCTGGGTAAGAATTTGATGTGGTTTGTTTTAAATAAAAGGCGATTATTTTTGTGTTTTATAAGAAGCGGCCCACAAGCCATTTGAGGTAAACATTTTGACCTGAAACTGCCTCGAAATGACAACCCGGAGTTAATTATTTGACATGATGTAATGACGGCACTGAGAAATGATAAAATTAATTTTGGATCCAAATTCCTCAGATTGTAGTTTTAATTTATGATGCATGAGGCAAATTTAAACACTTGCCTAGAAACTCATTTTCCTGTTAAAATATTTAATATTGCATGCTTTGCTGAATTCTAGAAATCTTGTTTCATTTTGTTACCAAAGAAAAACTGGGCACAAGATTTGTGGTGATTTCTGGTTTATTGGCTTCCATTAATGGAATTTTTGGAGTCATTTATTTCTTGATTTTGGCTTGTGACTTCCAAAATATAATGCTTTTCCTTCTTTACATATATAATGTCACTTCCAATGTCAGAGATTTTGCTGTCTCTGATTTCAAATTTTTGGAACTTAATGGAAGCCAAAGTCTTTGGGATTAGAGGTTGGAGTATGAGGTATGATTTAGCATCAAACAATGTCTCTTTATCCATAACCTGTTGAATTTCTGAATGGGCTTGTCCAGCTTTCACTTTTGGTACTATTCATTATCTATCTATAAAAATTTGAAGTTTGTCAGCCAACCAAATAGAGCCTTGTCAGATTGCATAGATGCTCAGGCTAGCCTGGCTCTATACTGGTGGCACTTTAGGTTCCAGTAGGGTTAGGGTTTAAAGAAAAGTTACATACTAGTATGAAATTATATTAAACAAGAATATATGGAGGATGATAACATTAAGCCTGTTGAATGCCTATATATTTTTCACTTTTTTTACAGGGATATCATAACAATAGACAAAGCTACCGGCAAGATTACAAAACTTGGAAGATCATTTACGAGAGCAAGAGATTATGATGCTATGGGAGCTCAGGTGACTATCATTTCTTTCAACCACCCACACTATATAGGTTTCTTACAAAAGTTCATGAAGGACAGTATTGCTAAATGTTCACAAGTTTGGAATTACGATTGCTTTATTCTTTTCAGACCTAACAAATGTTAAATGATATTATAATATACCCACTTTATATTCTTTCCAGACAAAATTTGTGCAATGTCCTGAAGGGGAGTTACAGAAGAGAAAAGAAGTAGTACATACTGTAACATTACACGAGATAGATGTCATTAACAGTAGAACACAGGGTTTCCTTGCTCTCTTCTCAGGTAAAATACTAGTTTTCTTCCCTATATCATCATACAATATACATCCTATTATATCGCTTATTTACTGTATATTTTTGAAATAAAAATATCCGTTTTTGTAGTTGTTTTTATAAGATATTAAACCTGCAATGTCTATTCTACGAGGTTGGACGTGGGGATTTTGAGAATTTCACCCTATTTTTTCAGAAGCAGGGGGAAAATTTACATTAGAGGAAGCAGTAAAAAGATCAACAAATGTAATAAATTCTCACATTTCGATATAAAAATCCCCTGTTTTCCGAATCCTAGAATAGACAGTGAACCTGACAATATTACTTTGCTGTCCATATTATTGAATGTTCTTTATTTGGAGTTATAGTTAGCATAATAAATCGCAAAACAAATTGAAATGTAGATTTAACTTTAAAGACAGATTGTGTAGCCTTCGACTGTCCAAACTGAAACATACCTTTATCACCAAAAAATGTTTTAATGAAATTGTTCATGTGTATCATTTATAATTGCATCAATAAAAAATCATTATACTACAAAAACTGTCCAAAGAAGGGTAAAGTGCCTTTAAGTTTATTATGGTCTTCGGGGCAGTAATAAATATTTACCAAATCATTCGGGTTAATAATTCTTGATATAAATTTATGTGGAATGACATTTTGGGTTTAGTTTTATGTTATATTTCTTTTACGTTTATCAAACATTATGTACAAATTGTAAAAATGTATAACATACAAAATGGTGAATTTACAGGTGATACTGGTGAGATAAAATCAGAGGTTCGTGAACAAATTAACAGTAAAGTTGCTGAATGGAGAGAAGAGGGTAAAGCTGAAATTGTTCCTGGGGTTAGTATAGTATAATAATTTATTATGCCCCCGCCATGTAATGGCCGGGGCATATAGTGTTACCCTGTTCCGTCATTCCGTCCTTCCGTCCTTCCGTCCTTCCGTCATTCTGTCATTCCGTCATCATCAGTTTCCGTTCATTATCTTAAGAACGGTTGCACACATTCAACTCAAATTTGACATATGAATATATCATGACAAAATACAGGTCAAGTTCGAATTTGGTCATGGTTTCGATGATTTTTGACAGAGTAATGCCCCTTTTACTTTGAAAATAATATGAAATTTCAGTTTCGGTTCATTATCTCCACAATGGTACAACACATTCAACTCAAACTTGACATATGGATATGCCATGACAAAATACAGGTCAAGTTCGAATTTGGTCATGGTTCGATGATTTTTGGCAGAGTTGTGCCCCTTTTACTTTGAAAATAATATGAAATTTTCAGTTTCCGTTTATTATCTCCCCAACGGTACAACACATTCAACTCAAACTTGACATATGGATATGTCATTAGAAAATACAGGCCAAGTTAGAATTTGGTCATGGTTCGATGATTTTTTGGCAGAGTTATGCCCCTTTTACTTTGAAAGTAATGTGAAATTTTCAGTTTCCGTTCATTATCTCCCCAACGGTACAACACATTTCAACTCAAACTTGACATATGGATGCGTCAAAAGAATGTGCAGGTCATGTTCAAATTTGGTCATGGTTCAATGTTTTTTGACAGAGTTATGCCCCTTTCACTTTGAAAGTAATATGAAATTTTCAGTTTCCGTTTATTATCTCCCCAACAGTACAACACATTCAACTCAAATTTGACATATGGATATGTTTTTTGGAATGCCCAGGCCAAGTTGGAATTTGGTCATGGTTCAATGATTTTTGGCAGAGTTTATGCCCCTTTCACTTTGAAAATAATATGAAATTTACAGTTTCTGTTCATTATCTACCCAACAGTGTTACATATTCAACTTAAATTTGACATATGGATATGTCAAAGGAATGGGCAGGTCAAGTTGAAAATTTGGTCATGGTTTGATGATTTTTTTTTTGCAGAGTTATGTCCCTTTCACTTTTTGAAAATAATATAGATACATCTTAGTCAAGCAGTTTAAGTATGAATTTGGTTGTGGTTCAATGATTTTAGAAAACTTATCTTTCCTGAATGTTGGAAAAATTTTGTACTTTCAGTTTCAGCACTCATACTTTTAGCCATTATTTTGGCTACAAATATGAAATATGTTATTTTTAAAAGGTTAAGACTGAATAATTTCAGTGTCTTGAACATTGTATGAAAATGGTTTGTGTTAACATTTTAAAGTTTTAAGGGCTTTGAACTTAAAATGAAAAAAATAATTAATGCACCATCTGAAATTTTGGCTGCATGCGGGGGCATCCGTGGCATGATGACACATTTCTAGTTGTAATTGGTTTAAAGACGCGTGCCTTTTGATAGCACTTTTTATGCCCCCGGGCATATAGTAATTGAACCGTCGGTCCGTCTGTCCGTACGAGGTTAACCTAGAACGGCAAGTTGGATTTTTTAACCAGGTTTTCAATTTTGAAAATCCTGGTTATTAGATTGGGGTATGGCGGGCGGATGGGCGGGCGGGCGTCAAACGAAATTGTGTCCGCTCTGTAACTCTTCAACCCTTTGAAGAATTTTGATGAAACTTCAGACAAATGTTTACCACATCAAGATGACGTGCAGAACGCATGTTCCGCATGGCTGGCTCCAAGGTCAAGGTCACAGTGACATTAACATTGAAAATCCTGTCCGCTCTGTAACTCTTCAACCCTTTGAAGAATTTTGATGAAACTTCAGACAAATGTTTACCACATCAAGATGACGTGCAGAACGCATGTTCCGCATGGCTGGCTCCAAGGTCAAGGTCACAGTGACATTAACATTGAAAATCCTGTTTACATGATTTTAACTTGATTTGGCAGTCAAAGGTCATATCATCTTTGGAGGTAATTTAAAAAAGATATGATATATTCAGGGCTCCAGATAAGATGCGTATACGCGTAAATTACGCATGGAAATAACACGTTTACGCATTCAAAACAAAATTTAAGCGTATGAAAACGCACATAAAAATCAGGTTACGCACTGAACAACATTTCTTTCGCGTAAACGTAACCGAAAGTAAACTCTGATTATTTTATTTTTAATTTCGTCTGAACGCTTTGCAAGCGTCTACCGGTAACTTCCTGTAGTTCCGACCATCATCGGTTGTTCTCGTAAGTATAGTATGGTGGTGGAATTAACTTCGTATAAATGCCTTGCAAACGTCTAACGGTTACTTCCTGTAGTTCCGACTATCATCGGTTGTTATCGTATGTATAGTAAGGTGGTGGAATTAACGCAATTTTATAAAAAACATCCGGTACAATGTCGCTGTCAAAAGTAAACACGATTGACTCGTATTTTCAGCCGAAAAAAATCGACCCGAAAGTAATTGTTAAGTTTATAATCAATGAAATAATTAGCGCTGCCACGTATGAGCAACAGAAACATGTGTCAGCCTCAGATAAAACGTACGCCGTTTGGAAAGACCTGTTCCCGTGGATTGTCATAAATTCAGAAAGACCCGTCACAGGTTAAGCTTAAATGTTCATTATGTATAAAATTTCAAATGAAAAAATGCATTTACTACAACTGGTTCTAGCAATATTCAAAAATCAACCGTTGAGCGACACTGCGAATCTGCGGACCCACCAGACTGCTACTAAAATGTCATTGAAATTAGAAAGTTCTAAAAAAGATCCTACGCTATTAGATCAAGATTCAGAAGAGATAAAAAACTGTAAATTGTTGGATTCAGACATTTTTTTGATAAGATCGGTTTACTCTCTCATGAAAAAATGAATTACCATTTGAAAAACTTGATGCAATTTTGGAACTTCAACGGTTAAATTCATTAAATATGCCATACAGAAATTTAAGCTGGACTACTATTACAGAAATTCAAAATGTAATTGCTGCTGGTTTAAAGAAAAAACTTGTTTATAAGATCAATCAGTCTGATTATTTTGCAATCTTAATAGATGAAAGTACTGATATCACTGTTTCCAAGAGACTTTCAATTTGTGTGAGATATGTAGTCCATGGTAGTGCATATACATCTTTTCTTGGTAACTGCGAATTACCAGATGGTAAAGCTCATACTATAACTTTAGCTTTAAGTAATTATTTAAAGGAATGTGATGTTAACTTTTCAAAATGTGTTTCACTTGCAACAGATGGTGCAAGTGTCATGATGGGTAAAAAAAACTGGTGTTGGGGTACAGGTTCAAGCTAAATTTGCCCCATTTGTAATACAAACTCATTGTATAGCACACAGATTAAATTTGGCAGTAACTGACTCTATTAAACAAATTGAAACCACTAAAGAACTGAAAGAAAAATTTGCAAACCTTTACCATTTCATATCTGCATCAGGAAATAGGACATTTGCCTTAAAACAAATGCAGGGGTTGTTAGACGAGCCTAAGCTGTCTGTTAAAGAACCATATTCCATTCGTTGGCTGGGTTTCTTAAAAATGCTGTTGAAGCCGTCTATGAATCATATGGAGCCATACTTGCAACATTGTCTAGCATGGCCGATGAAAATTCTACAGCTAAAGGTTTATACAAGTACTTTGCTTCATATAAAACGGCATTACTTTTAGCTTTCATGTTGGACGTTCATACCATCCTGGGTGTCCTATGTTGTGAACTGCAGGCAAAGAACCTTATTTTTAGTGATGTTCCTCCCCTAATAGACAGTACTGTGGAGAAAGATTGAGTCAATGAAATCAGAAGAGGGTGATGGATTAGTAGAGATGAAAAAACAGCATTGTTGTGAAAAGATGAAAAGGCCTTTTATAAAGGAGATGAGCTTAAATATTATAGCAAAGATATAGAATCACAGTTTTCAAATGTTAAAAATAATTATTTGGATAACTTGGCAAAAATATTAAAAGAAGACTAAAAAAAGAATGATAGTGACACTTTAATATACTTGAGTCAAGTCTTAGAACCATCAACAGTATGTCATCTTCCTGCTGATACCAGTAAAGTGCTCTAGAATGTTTGGGAAATCAGTTTGGAGTTGAAAAAACAGTTGAAACAAATGGAAGGAGATCTGATTATAGGTATTTCAAATTGACATTTAACTGATGTAAAACTTTTTCTTATTTAAAACAATAAAAACTTAACTGATATAAACATGTTTACTTGCAAAACAACATTGTCCCAAAAAAATTAAACACAAAGTTGATGAATTATTTTTAAAGAATCTGATATCTAGGACTTGCAAAATATATTATAATGTCACTATATTGCTTCCTGATTTATTTAAATAATAACATATTGCATTCTATATTACAGGGACAACAGAGGACTGTCACTCATGTTGAGCCATTATTAGACAAAACAAAACTTGAGAAGGAGTGGAAAGGGGTTTATGGATGGTAAAAGGCACATATAGGAACATTTCCCTCAGTGACCTGTGCCAAAGATTATGTGTGAAGCACAGTCTGACATATCCAAACATGGCTAAGTTAGCTAAAATAGCCTTATGCATGGAGATTTCAAGCACAGAGTGTGAGCGCTCATTCAGCACTCAAAACAGACTTAAGAGTAAATTAGGTGGACATTTATATTAAAGTCTATCTATCTTTTATTTTGAATTTATGCAGGTGGATCTACTCTAGTATATAATTTTGTTAGTAAACTAAGAAAAGTTTATAAGTAAATATTCTAATTATTTTTAATGCAAATGTACATGATTTATGCATTCTTGAAAATTGTTCTTGAAAGTATATATGTTGTTGTTTATCTCATGGCAGGTCATCACTCAAAGAGATTTCACTTGAATCACTGCTGAGGGTTAGCCTTTATGGAGAGCCAGTCTCAGAGTATGACCCTGTACCAGACACAAGACAGTGGTTGGTCAAGAATCGCAGAAGGAAGCGTCTGATGCAAGATTATAAACCAAGAGAGTCCAAAAAGCAAAAGAAATGACTGACATATCTTGTATTACAACTATGATAATGCAGTAAACATGGAAGCATAATAAATGTTTTACTCTTTTCCATACATTGTAAGGAGTAAAAATACTCCTGCCAAATTTCAGATTTCAAGTTTTACTCATTCACAAAAAAATCAATGAGTAAATACTCATTGCCCTAAAAAATTATCTGGAGCCCTGTATATTATTTCATGTCTACTTTGTAACTTGTTTTTCATTATACAGAATTATCAATATAATTATAGTGAACAAATTCTTCTGTGCTGAACTCGTCCTACATTTCTCAACGGATTTTGTTCAAACTTTCACAGAAGCTTTGTCATCAAGCACCCTGGCACATATTGTCGGGGTTTTGTGATTGGATAGTTTTTTACCTAATTATGGCCCTTTGTTTTTTTCCTTATACATAATATTATAGTGAACACTTCTTCAGTGGCAATTCCTCCTACATTATTCATGTTTTACATTGCACATAGTTACATTGTTTGTTGCTTGTATTTGTATTTCAAATACAACATATTTATCTACAATGGTGATAATTGAAAACCTGGTTTCATGGCCTTGCCATGTTTCTTGTCTTAAGTTCTACCTGTACCAATGGCTTCTAAGTTTACACACTTACTAATCAATACAAAGTACATGATCTGGGCAAGTTTCATAACTCTGGCTTTCATATTTACCAAGTTATTGCCCTTTTCAGTACTTAGAAAATGAATAATGGTTAACCTAAAACGGCAAGGTGGAAATATCTTAAGTTCTATCTATACTAATGGCTTTATAATTTCCACACTTACTTATCAATCCAAAGCACATGATATTGCCAAGTTATATAACTGTGTCATCCATATTTCCCAGTTATTTCCTTTTTTTCACTTTGAAAATAGGGCCTTGTCTGGTTAACCCTATTTCGGCAAGTTGGATTTATCTTAAATTTCTCCTAATTGCTTAATTTCTTTACTGATATCTTTCATATTTAGTAGGTGGATACCTTTGATGGTCCTCTAATTTTTTTTGGAGTAAGCGGTCTCTAGGGTCAAGGTCAAGGTCACTGGTTTAAAAAAATAAATATAAACCTTTTTTTTTGCTCATACGGCTTTTATTTTTTAGTTGATGTCTTAGTTTAATACAAACACCTCCTTCTTTGGGTGTAGTATGGGGTCATTTGGTCAAGGTCAATGTTACCAATGTCAAGGTCACCAATGTTAAAATAGATTTTTACATTTTTACAGGTGTATTGACCTTATTCTATAGACAGATGTTATTTATGATTGATAAAACATAAACTTTTATGGAGTTAGTGGTCAGTTGGGTAAGGTCCCAGTTTAAAATAGATTTTTACACATTGCTCTTACAGCTTTATTAAGTGACAGATATTTTTATTTTGGTAGGAAATAACTTTGCATGTATTTTCTTCCTTTTTTTGATTGGGGTAGGGGATCAGTGGGTCAAGGTCACTTTTGCTAAAAAAAGATTTTTACACTTTTTGCCATACAGCTTTTATTTATTGACAGTTTTTTCATATTTGGTAGGAAGATAACTTGCATGGTTTATTCTTCCTTTGGATGGAAGTAAGGGGTCAGTTGGGTCAAGGTCACAAGTGCTAAAATAGATTTTTACACTTTTGCCCATACAGCCTTTATTTATTGACAGATGTATTTCATATTTGGGTTAGGAGATAAACTTACATGGATTATTCTTTCTTTTGGATAGAGTTAGGGGTCGGTTAATTGGTCAAGGTCACCAGTGCTCAAAAATAGACTAATATACACTTTTGGCCCATACAGCCTTTATTTAATGACAGATGTATTTCATATTTGGTAGGAAGATAACTTGCATGAAGTTGAATATTTTTCAACTTCACAAGTCAGAGCAATGACTTGGCAACTTATATTTTCACAATTACAAAATGCCATGACTTTTGTCAAGCTATAAAAACTTGTGTTTACAATTTTTTGGCGATTTTTCTGTCCATAACTGAGTGAATGGGTAAACATTTTTTGAAGTATTGCTACTGACAAGAATCTGAGCCTGGGGCATTTGTGTTTAACAAACACGTTCTTGTTGTTATACTGTTTTATCTATCTATCTAGTCCTTTAGGGTCATTGATTGTCCTTTTGTATCATTTATTGTCCTTTAGATCATTGTTAGTCCTTTAGGGTCTTTGATTCCAATACTTTTTGTGTTGGCTTAAGCTGGTGCAAGGGGTTGCTTGGATGATAAACTTGTCTCTCATGAAAGGACTCAATTAAATCAAGTATTTTACTTTTGTTGTCATTTGCTCTAGAGAGATCTCCCTTTTCCATTTTTTTCTTCACAAAAATATTGTTATAGATATTGATTAAATAATTTCTGTATTTCCACCTAACACACCTAGTGGGAGTCTGATAAGATTAAAAAAAGAAAAGAAAAGAAAAGCAAATTTTTTTTTTCCTATTTGTTTTCAAGCAAGATTGCTTAAATGCTTTCCTTAAGACAACCTGAATACTGTCAATTGATTTTGCTGCACCTGACATCTTTTCACTTTTTGTTTATTTTCACTTTTGTTACGTTTAAGTAACCTTTATTTTCTTTCAACTCCTTAAAACTCGCCCCTCAGAATGTGCTTTTGATACATAAATTGTAATTGTTCAATCTTGTATTACAGGTGTTATTCATTGATGAAGTACACATGTTGGATATAGAAAGTTTCTCATTTTTAAACAGAGCATTAGAGAGTGATATGGCACCTATTTTAATCATGGCAACAAACAGAGGAATCACAAGGTACAAGCCATTTTATTGATATTTTCACTTTTAGCCATTCATTTTGGCTTATCGATTTGAATTAAAGTATTACTTGGCACAAGTTTCTTTAGACTGAATTTTTTCCTGCATAAATAATGTAAGCCAATATATGTGAGGTCAAGGTCACCAGAGATGATGAAATGTTCACATTTTCTCAATAGCATATCTTCCACACACACATGATGGATGGTTCTAGTATTACTGGATACAGGTTTTCGTCATCATTTCGAGATGTTGTATCTCTGTAGTAATCACAGCTAGAGATCCTGAGATTACTAGTCTGACTTATTACCACTTGTCTATGCAGCCACACTTGTCCATGCCATCACACTTAACCATGCTACCACAAAATGTGATTATTGATCATCCAGTCATGATGAATAGTGGTATCTTAATGTAAAATCTCTACCTATTCTGAGACCATACATTTGTGATTGGCATGTTTTATGCCAAATTGGTACTGCTTGTTAATTCATACAATTGCGATATGTTCCTATGTGATATAACATACACTGGAGCCGCGATATAGCGCTCATGTTGGGGTCCATGATCTCAAGACAGCGTTGTAACGAGTAACTTTTTATAACGCTCATTGTGTAATTATATAGCGAAAATATCGCAATTACCCCACCCACCGCCGAAACATATACGCTTGTTAGTGGAAATGAATGTTTACTTACCTTCCAAGGATATCAGTCCAAGCTTTTTATATATTACTTTATTAATTATTTTGTAAAGCATTACTGAATATCTTTAATATAAACATGAAATTTACAAATTAAAAAATATAAACCACGAATGTCTACAATTGTTTATAAATTTCCAGTAAAACAGCAGTGTTAACGTGTTGTTATGTGTGGTCATGAAAATTGATACTAGTGGATGGACTAAATTAATCGTCTTTTCCTGCTGTCTCTTGTGAAAAAGTCAGTCATCCTCAACAACTTTTTTTTGCCGATTAAATCGAAAGTAATTGCTTTTTAAAATTAATTTACGCTTGGGTGATTTGCTTAACTCTTCGGTGTTTGCATGTTTTAGCTAACAGTTTGATACCTGACTGATCAACAGTTCAAAATGAACAAAAGAGCGGAATTAACGCTTACCTGTGTATGACTTCACACCTTCTTATCATGAGTGACGTAATTATGACTGTTTATTGCACTCGACTGACACTTTTGAACAAGCGTTATAGTGGATAAGGTGCGGTATTGATATACATGAAAAAAAAAAATTATAATCGGCGAAAAATACGATTTTTTTTGGGAGCCAAGGCATAATAAGCGTTCTACTGAGATTAGCGCTATACCGAATGAGCGCGATATCGCGGCTCCAGTGTACATTTATTTTTTTACAATATTGTAGAATACGAGGCAAAACTACCAGAGTCCACATGGCTATTACCTATAGATCTTCTAGATAGACTGCTTATTATTTCAAAGCATCCCCGTACGAGAGAAAGAAATCCAGAAAACT